CAATTAAACAACCTGATGCTGAACCTCAAGCTTCTAGAAAAAGAAGAGCAGGACAACCCCAAAGCTCATACAAGGGAGGAAATTATAAAGATCAGTGGAAGGATTTAACAGTGTTATCTATTTTTGCCATAAGTTAATTTTGTGTGTGTTTGGTACTGGTGATTGAACCCAGGACCTTCTCACTGAGCCAACCCCAAACCCCATATTTGAACGTTGAGACAGGGTCTTGCTAAGTTGCTCAGGCTGGGCTCGAACTTGAGATCTTCCTGCCTTAGCCTCCCAAAGTACTGGGATTACAGGAATGCACCACCATAACTGGCTATAAGTTAATTATTTTGAAAATAAGATAAAGCAACATCTATTGGTTTGTTTTATTTTCTCTGAATTACTGATTTTTTTTTAAAACAGGGAATGTATCTTTCTTTTTTTTTTTTGGTACCAGGGATCGAACTTGGGTCCTTGCACTTACGCAGCAGGCGGCGAAACCACTGAGCTAAATCCCCAGCCCAAATGTATCTTTCTTAAAAAGAAAAAGTGGACCTAGGCATGGCAGCACAGCCTGTAACACTAGCACTGCGAGAGGCCAAGGCAGGAGGACTGCAAGTTAGAGTCCAGCCAGGGCTACTTAGCAAGACTCTGTCTCAAACAATTTAAAAAGGGTCTAGGGATGTAGCTCAGGGTGAAGGTCCTGGGTTCAATCTCCAGTACAACAAAAAAACAAAGAAAAAGAAAAGCTAGCTAAATATAAGACCCAATAGGGCCGGGGATGTAGCTCAGTGGCGCTGTGCCTGCCTGGCAAATACAAGGTTGTGAGTTTCATCCCTGGTATCAGAAAACAACAACAACAACAACAACAAAAAACCTTGGGCTGGGATTTAGCTCAGCGGCACCACACCTGCCTTGCAAGCACAAGATCCTGAGTTTGATCCCAGTACCAAAAAAAAAAAAAAAAAGGCAAATAGGAAAGATCTAAATATTTAAGTCAGGAAGTGCAGGTTTTTTTGAGGCAGGGTCTCACTACATAGTTCAGGCTGGCCTTGAACTAAAAAGTGCAGTTTTAAAATCAGATAAATTGTATGACCCTGGGCTAGTCACTTTACCTCTTTGGTTCATAGGTTTCTGGACCAAAAAATGAAAGAAAATTAAAGGATTAGAACAGGGGTTCCTGGGGCTGGAGATTTAGCTCAGTGCCACCATGCCTGCCTCACAAACACAAGGTCCTGAGTTCGATCCCTGGTACCAAAAAAAAAAGAATAAGGGTTTCTGATTTTCCCTTCAGTTTAAAAAGTTATATTATTCTATTACAGTTTAGACCTAGAATGTTCCCCCAAAAGGCTCATATTTTTAGAGGCTGGGCTTTTGGAAAGTGGTTGAATCATGGGGGCACTATGATCATCAGGGAACCCACTGGAGAATTCAGAGTTGATCGTATGTTAGGAGATGAGATCTAGTCACAAGAGGAGGGTCACACTGGGGATGAGACCTAGGTGTATCTCCCTCCCATGCTCCTCTCTTCCTACTCTGCTTCTTGACGGCCATGAGGTGAGTAGCTTTCCTCCACCAGACCCTTCCACCATGCCCTTCCTGCCTTGGATCCAGCTGACTATGGACTAAATCCTCTAAAAACACTGACCGAAATAAGCCTCTCCACCTTTACTTTGAGTGTTGGGTATTTTGTCCCAGCGAAGAGAAAGTAACTAAGACAAACTCTAAGTGTAAATTCATGGGAAGAGTAGAGATTACACCATGATTCGGAAAGTAACATAAAAAAGATCTAAAGGCCGGTCACCTGAACTTGGCTCAGTCCTGACACATCTGAATTTCTTAGAAAATAACCATGGCTATTCCCACATATCACTCATTTGTACCTCACAGCAAAGCAGAAAATGAAATCATCATCAAATTGTTCAATATTTGGTGGCCTCCCAAGCACTTGGAAGGCTGAGGCAGGAGGATCACAAGCTCAAGGCCAGCCTAAACATATAATGGACCCTGTCTCAAAAAAATCTTTTTCAACACTTACATCAATAATAGTCTTTTTTGTAAATTGGAATAATATTTAGCTTTTTTTTTTTTTTTGGTACCAGGGATTAAACTCGGGACCTTGCGCTTGCAAGGCAGGTGGTGGAACTATTGAGCTAAATCCCCGGCAATACTTAGCTATTTAAAGCCATGCTTGAAAGAATATTTATGACACAAAAAATAGCCTACTCTATAGAGAAAGTCTACAGTAGACAAAAACTAAAAGTATAAACATTAGCAGACTTATATAGGAGATCTGTTTTCTCATTTATACTTTCCTCTGTTTTCCATTTTCTAAAATGTACTATATGAGTATTTCATTTACAATTTCATGTTTTGAGTTAGAGATTAACACATTCCTGCAGGCTTGGACCACTCCTGGAACACGCATGACTGTCCCATCGGGTGCCTTGTACCACCTGATAGAACTGTCCCATGACTCCTAATGAGACAGTTGTGCATATATCACCAGTGGTTCAGAGCTGCAAAGCAGCAAGACATACGAATTACAGCTGTGAATGTGTTAATAGTTGGGTTGACATATTTTTAGATATAATGTTCCTCCTATAATGAGGAACATGGTTTGTTTATTTTTTAATTCTGAGGTTCTGGTCAGAACCTAGATAAAGCAGACACCTGGCAACAGGGCAGAAGGGATTTCCCCAGACTCCCCTGCGTACTCTGTGACTGGTCTCTTCCAGGTGGCACTAACACTTGTGGAAAAGGCTCTTGTGAAAAAGGCTCAGGAGCAGCGACACAGGTGGTGCCTGCAACCACAGCTGGCTTTGGTGGGGGTGCAAAGAGCCCCTGCTCCTGCAGGGCCCCTGTCAGCAAGCTGGAGACCCGTCACTCACCTGGGTCAAACCTCATCACCAGGAAACAGAGAATCAAGGCAGCCAGGAGGCTCTTTTTGAAGGGCAGAGAAAGGAAGTGGCTCACTGCAGAGTCCCAAAGCCGGCGAAGCAACATAAGCAGCGACAGGAACTTGTGAGAGAAGGAGCCTGGTCAGGGGGAGAGAGCACAACTTCAGGATGAGTCAGGAGAACTGGCTTCCCTGGCTCTGAGCTTCAGGCTGGATTATAAGAGCTGAGAAAAGGTAATGAGGATGATTTTCTTCATGTAGCTCATTGAATGGTTCAAAAGGAAATTCTAAAAGCTCCAAAACTGCTCTGAGGACAGGCCTTATCACTACCCTGTCATGTGCAGACAACACCTACTCTGCTGGGTCAGCCTGCAAATCTAATGTCTCTGTTAACAGCCTCATTACTCTATGGTATCCTTTATATTCTGGCCTGACACAAGCACAGAGCAACACAGAACCATAGTTCTGGTTGTCACATTAATGCAGTGAAATGAAGTGCATCTAATACACACAGTGAAAGAATTCAAAAGCCTTGGATTGTGAACACAAACATGAATACCAGCCCCAAAACAAGTGGTATCAGCCCTGATGGAACCAACTGGATTTACATTCGAATTCCTCTTCCCACCTCTTTTCCAGGAGATGCAGGATAGAGGGCCTGGATCTCCACGGCTGACGCCCAAGGCCAACAACCTGCTAGTAAAGAATGATTCTATCTCAACAACTTGATGCTTTTAAGCACACAGAAAAAAATACTTCGGAGAAGATTATAGTCTCAAAGTAACAACAGCAAAGCTTTCATGTAAGTTTTAAAAAAACATGCTGGGTGTGGTAGCACATGCCTGTAATTCTAGCACTCAAGAGGCTAAACCAGGAGGATCACGTGTTCAAAGCCAACTTGGGATGATACATAGCAAGACCCTGTCTCAAAAAAACAACACAAAAGAAAAGGAACAGGCCTATTCTATATGCTACCAAGAGAAAAACAGGAATCAATGAATAAAGACTACAAGGTTAAAAACTTAAATGTACACAGGGAATATACTGCTACAGGAGACAGCTAATTTTCTGTCCTTAGAAGTATTCACATAGAGACTCAAGGAAAAGGAGGCAAAATGATTCAGGGGCTGGGGAAGCTCTTGGAGTAGAGGGATGTAGAAGTTGCTTCAGCTGTAGCCTGGCCTGGGGTGACAGTGCCGAAGCCCCAGGCAGAGACAGAGAGCTGAACCTTCCTCCACCTGGCTGGGCAGCAGGAAGTAGCAGGATTTTCAGTGTATCTGAGTCCCACATCCTGGCCTCTTAGCTAGCTTTAGCACTCTCAGCTCCACTGGCTGGAGAATAAATGAGATTTGCACAAATTTCAAACGGAATTGAAATACAGGCTCTAGTGCTAATATCCTTTCCTTTTGGCTGTTAACAGAAAATTAAACATCAGAAAACCGAAAAACTCAGGAGGATAAACTGCTGGCCCTGGCAAGTATTTCTTTTGTTTTGTTTTGTTTTTGTTTTTGTTTTGAGACAGGGTCTCGCTATGTAGCTCAGGCTGGCCTTGAACTCACTATGTAGCCCAGGGTATCCTCAAACTCATGGCAATCCTCCTGCCTCAGCCTCTTGAGTGCTGGGACTATAGGCATGCACCACCACACCTGGCCTGGCAAGTATTTATGATGAAGGTGAATTCAGAAAAGCAGAAGCTGTCCAAGGTAGAAAAACTAGGATCTATTTGGATTTGCCACAAAATTTCAAGATGTCTGTGAATGGTTAGTTAATCATGTTCTCTTACAATGATTTTTCTAAATAAAAATTATTCTCAATCTCTTAGTATACTCTAAACTATTTGTACTTTTATGCTTATGAGCATTAACGATAGATGGTAGCATCAGAGATGTGATGCATGTTTCTGTTTTAAAAGAAAATTACGATGAAAAGTAAATAGTTTACAATTTTGATTCTACCTTTTTGACCACTAAATTGGGAGATTTTCCTGTATATGTCATGCATCCTATCTTCTAACTAGCAGATTATTGTCACAAGTCATCCATAATTAAATGGAGATAAACAAAGAGAAGATGAAGTAATGTACATCTGTGAAAACACTTGGAAAGTTTTTTAAAAAGTACCACGGTGGTTGTTAATATTATTTAGTTTCAGGGTCATTTCAATTACCAGGTGACACGGGTGGTTACTCTGTGACCTTTTGCTACAGGAGAAAACAAACAAACAAACTTGCTTTTGATACAAACATTCACAGAAGACCCTGATGCACACTTTTCCAAACTGTTTCTATTCTAGAAGCACTGAGTGAAGAACACGTAATCATTTCATGGAACTGATGGTGAGAGTATTGTGTGCTACATCATCTTTCAAGCCTGAGATCACTGGGCTGGCACAAATTTTCCTAGCTATGATTTATGGGTACTTGGTACATGCTAGTGTGAGTTATGGTTGGTTTTTTTTGTTTGTTTGGTTTTTTTGGTACCGGGGATCGAACTCAGGTCCTTGCACTTGCAAGGCAGGTGGCAGAACCACTGAGCTAAATCCTCAGCCCAGTTATGGTTGTTTGATAGAAATAAACATGCTTTTCTCTGATAAATAAATAAATAAATAACATTCCTTGGAACAGAGCAATTCCCCACACCCACCTCTGTGTAGAAGCCTCTTATTATGATGCTAGCACAGAGTCACTGAGTAAAACTGCACACTAATGAGCAGGGTGGACCTCAGCTGAAAAACCACTCAAAAACTACTAGTTAAGTGAAGGCAGACAGGACGCTGCCAGGTACAGACACTGAAACTGAAGATAAGTAATTTTTATTTCTTAAGTCAAGTTACCAAGTGATTGCTAGTTTCTTGGCTAACACCAAGCAAGTCTCAGTTGGGCCCATGTTGCGGCAGCATTTAAAGGAGTGACATCACACCCAGGCCAGTATGGGGGAAGCAAGAGATCCAGTGTGAGGACCCCTGATTAGTACAGTGACATTCAGGAGACAGGAGTCATGGTTTGGAAATCCACCAACACCTCCCCACACAGAGCTTCTCCTTCCACTGCCAAGCTCAGAAAGCCTGGCCCAGCTTTGTTAAACAACTCAGCAGGTTTCCTAATCTGTGATGAAAGAGTTGGTCATACCAAGAATTGGGTCCAAGCTCTTAGTGAAGTCTGGAAGGACCTGAGGTGCACAGAAACCCCACAGCTCCACTCTACAGAGACCTAGGGTCCTACCTTCCTGGTTTGTCTTCAGCACCTCCTGGAAGCCTGAGCGCTCCTGCTTCTGCTGCTGCTTCGCTGTACGAACAGCCTGGAGCATTTCTAGCCGCTGCTGCTCACCAAAGGCTGCAGAGCCCACCACCAGCTCCTCTGCCTCTGCCAAGTGGCCCAGTGGCAGCAGTACCCGCTGCAGGTGAAGTTCAGCCAAGATGCCATATTCTGGAAGACCTTGGTTGTCTGGGTCTTGGAGCCAGGCACTGACCACATTTAGCATGGCTCCAGGCTCTTGCATTTTGCTGTATAAAAGAATGCTGCACCCCCAAATAATCCAATCCCCCCAAAAAGAAGAGTCAGGGCTCCATAGTGATTCATTTCTCATACCTCCCACGCCCTCCAGCCCTTCTCTGTGGAATGCTGACACTGTTAAGAATTAGGAACTCTTAACCAGGTGTGGTAGTACACACTTGTAATTCCAAGACTTGGGATAAAGTCCAGCCTAGACTACACAGCAAGACCGTGTCTCAAAAAAAGAAATGAAAAAGGGCCAGGGGATTTAGCTCAGTGGTTCCGCCACCTGCTTTGCAAGTGCAAGATCCCGAGTTCGATCCCCGGTACCAAAAAAAAAAAAAAAAAAAAAAAAAAAAATTAATATATCTTGCCTTAAGAAAAAAAAAAAAAAAAAGAGAACTAGAAATGCCTAAGGAGTAGCAGCACTCTCAGCTCTGTCCACTTCTTTATTCATCCCACTTCATTATTCCATGTCTGCTCTCTTCCTCTGTCCCACTACTAAACTCTTCCTGAGTCATCTTTTATTGCTATGTTCTGAGGTCTGAAAAAAAAGGGGAGAACTGGCTTTGGAGGGAAACAGTAGGGAAAGGGAAAAGGGAAGTACTAGCCCCTGATTCAGGGGAGGACAGGAAAATCCTCTTGTTCCAGCACCAATCCAGAATCAGCAACAAGGACCTACCACAGCTCCAGGACTTTGGGGGGCAGCTTTTCAGGGACTTGGTAATACTGAAGGACCCAGGAGAGGACTTCCCGCCACCGATCCATTTCTGCCAGGGCCTGAATCCCCACAACACACAAGGAGCATTTCACCTCCAAGGAGCTGTCAACAGAAAAACAAACTCAGGTTTTAAAGTGGTTCCCTTCCATTTTTACCCTGAGACTGTTCTCCATCTCCCAACTCGGCAGCCACTAGCTCTATCTTCTCCTTTAATCTCACAGGCTCCCCTTCTCCTCAACCCCCAAATCTCTTAGCACCAAACTGGCTTTGGCCCAGGTGAAATCAAATTTGAGTGAACAGACAGGGTAATCCTGAGTGGAAAACGACAACACTCAGCACAGACGCATCTGTCAAAGGTGAGAACTTAGGATAAGAGCTAAGATACGGTTAGTGAAGAAATGGGCTTGGAGTAAGTTTTCTGGCTTCATTTCGGTATAGGAACTCCACAATTGGCCTTTTAGAATCATAAAGTAAGGCACCCCCAGGAACCCAGAAGTAAAGCCTTCCACATTCGCTGCCACAAGCTCCTCCAGTCCCCTAAATATACAACCAGGGCTCCCGATAGATTCTCTGCGGTCAGCTATGATCTCCCTGGTGAGGCTTAACCCAACTTTACAATTCACAGAAAAATAACACCCACAACTGCCAGACACCTGGTGGCATTAGAAAGAGCACTGCAGGGCCAGGGATTTAGCTCAGTGGCGCCGTGCCTCCCTGGCAAGAGCAACATCCTGAGTTCGGTCCCCGGTCTCCAAAAAAAGCAGCACTGCAGGACCAAGATTTCCTCGAGATTAATTCTTTTTTTGTTTTTGTTTGTTTTTTGTTTTTTGGTACCGGGGATGGAACTCGGGTCCTTGCGCTTGCGCAGCAGGCAGCGAAACCACTGAGCTAAATCCCCGGCCCCGTACCCGAGATTAATTCTTTACTGCATCCCTGCAACAGGACCATTGAACCACTCCTACCTTGACCCCCATTCCCCATGATCAGCCATGATCAGGAGTGAATAACTCGGGGCGAGGGAAACCTTGGGAAAGACTTCTGCCACTTTACTGAACCTACGTAGTTGCTATTCAACACTTAACACAACCTGGCAATGACATAAATCCTGCGACCTTGAGTCCCCTCCCCCAAAAAACACCAGGAAAGGAACAGAGTCCAGCACGTACGTGGCCGCGGGCTCCTCGCCCAGGGCGTCGCGGGCAAGGCTCTGGCAGGCCCGCTCACAGGTCTCCAGCGCCGCGGGGAAGTCGAGGTGCACCACCAGGAGGTCGGCGGCCTCCTCCAGCAAGTGAACCACTGGGGACGCCGCCATGGCTGTACGCGCCCGCTCGCTGCTCCGCAGAGGCCCCCCGAGCCCCTTCAGCGGACCCGCAGAGATCGCGGCATCACTCTTCATGGCTCCAGATGTCCTGAATCGACCTGGGAAAAGAGAGAGTCCTCATACCCTTGCCTACGATTCTTCCCAAGGCCGATTCCCAGAGAAGAAAAAGGAAAGGCCAAAGGCTGGACTCGTCAACAGCCTGTCACCGGACAACGGGTTTATACGGCGGATTTGCAGGATTTCTGATCCGTAGAGTACCTGGCACGCGCCAGAACCACCTTAGTACTAAGAGCCGCGTCCCCAACTGCTTTAGCCGCCCAAGCCCTCAGCATGGGCGCTGCCATCTTGGACGCTCTCCGCGCCCGGCCACATGCCATGCCGATGCGCGGGACCCTAGGAGTTGTAGTTCTCTGCTCTCGTCTCCGCCGCGCTCTAGGAGCAGAAGGGAGAGCTCAAACTACAATCCCCAGCATGCTACAGGCCAAAAACTGTCACCGACCTCGAGGGAGGAAAGCACGCCAGCCTTGGGGTCGCAGGATAGGGATTTATAGACCCTTAATGAAACCTCAGTCGAAATTCTGAGCTTCTGCAGGGTGGCAGTTAAGAATCAGGAGAGAAGGGCCGGAGATTTAACTCAGTGGTTCCTCCGCCTGCCTCGCAAGCGCAAGGTCCCGAGTTCGATTCCTGGTACAAAAAAAAAAATCGGGAGAAAAGACTAGGACCGGCACGAAAAGGAGACACCTTTTCCGAAGGCGCGCATTTGTTCAGCCCTTAAAGGGCCCAAGACTGCTAAGAGCTGTGCGTGTGTGTGTGTGTGTGTGTGTGTGTGTGTGATTTTACACGCGAGGAAGTTGGACTTATTTAAATAATTTGCCGAAGGTCACACAACATAAATGACAAAAACGCTGTCAAACCAACACACTCTTGGCTCAAAGGCAAAAATGATTTAACCACTATTGTGTTCTGCTAGGACAGAACTTAAATCTTTGTATTCAGGGTATGCATGGCTATCACCTAAGAAAGAAACGTTCTCTTTGAACCTTTATATATATAAAATAAGGATATTTTATATAAATAGTGTGGTGGCGCACTCCTGTAATCCCAGCACTTGGGAGGCTGAGGCAGGAGGATTGCCTTGAGTTCAAGGCCAGCCTGAACCACATAGTAAGACCCTATCTCCAAAAAAAAAAAAAAAAAAACAAAGAAAGAAAAAAGGATATTGTCAAAAAGCCATTCACAGAAAGCCATTTACAATAAAGTACTGGGACCATGGGCCGGGGATTTACCTCAGTGGTTCTGCCACCTGCCTCGCAAGGGCAAGGTCTGGAGTTTGATCCCCGGTAGCAAAAAAAATAAATAATAAAATTACTGAAACCAGATCAGGTATTTGATAAATTGCAGCTATATAATATAAAGTATGAGTCATTCTAAATACGAGGTTGCCAAGATGTGCCTTCAGTTCCTCCTCAGATTTGACTGGGTCATTAGTAATAACATAATTATCAGGCTGCAAACATAAAAGCATGGATCCTTTTCAGAACAGAATTTAAAAGTCTGCCCTGAACAATCAAAGAAAGAGTAAGAGCAGCAAAAATAGAGCTACATAGGCCTAGGCCAAAATATCACCAGGGCAACCACGTTCCCCAGGCACAGTACTACTCTAAATTACTGCTGCCTGGAAGTGCCCCTTCCGTAGTTAATCCGTAGCGACGTTCATGCTACGCACAATTTTTCCAGTAGATGGCAGCACAGTCTTAAAGGAAGCAGCCTTGCCAGAAACAAATTTGCCTGTGTAGTGGTGAGGCAGCCAGAATGAGGTCAAGACGTTTAAAGCAGCAGTGGGAAGTGCTAAAAATCATATAAAGTAAGATTGAGCTCCAGTTTTAGATTTCACTGAATTTTCAACTACACATACAAGGCTTCATGTGGCCTGTATGTAACCATCTGACCTTTGGAACAGTTTCACCCACAAATCGATTTCTCAACCCGCAGCCACTGTGATATACCATCTACGTGCGAGGGTACCCAAAACTTCTCAAGCTGAGATGCAGAATTCCTAAACGGAAGCTAATTCTCTCCACCTGTGGGAGAGTAAACAGGTATTATCCGTACCCTAACGCACCAGCCTTCTTCCTGACTGAGCATTCAGGATGTAAGCTGGGAAGCCTGGTCTTCCTCTCATTTTCTCATCCTTGAGGTAAAGGAAGGAGTAGAAATAAGGATGGTTCTCCCCAGTCTATAAGGTCTGGCCCATGTCCATATCTGCATTGTTAGAATTGTTTTGTTGTGGGAAAACCAGTAGAGCAAAGGAGACATCAGTATTCCTACTATGATCCATTCCCAACCCCTACTGAAGCTCTGGAACTTAATATTCTTCCCTTCACTTGGCAAAGTGTGCAGGGTACCTCCATCTGCAGATACACACTTGGTTGACCTGCTGTAGCCGATGACGAGTTGTTTCTCCTCTAGCAGAAAAAACACCAGACTAGAAGACGTGAGACAACAGTATCCTGAGTCCTTCTGTGAGGAAGCCATGTGCTCTCAAGATTCCCACCCCACTTCTCTGCCTCAGTGTTTTCCTTTTGTTTTTATACTGCAGATTAAACCAAGGAATGCTGAGCTATATCCCCAGTCCCTTTTTATTTTATTTTGAGACAGGGGATTGGTAAATTGCCCAACCCAGGCTGGCCTAGAATTTATGATCCTTCTGCCTCAATCTCCTGAGCAACTGGGATTACTGGCATGCATCACCACTCCCAGCTGACATCCATCTTTTTATCTGAGGACACTGATGCCAATCCACCACAAGGGTGGCTGTGAGGATCAGAAGAGAGGCTATGACAGTCCATGGGACCCCTTGAATCTCTGGAATCATTCAGGCTGAAGAGTAAGGTGTACTAGATGAAGGGATATAGGAGCAGGAAGAATCTTTCTCCACCTCCATGTTCAATAATCTTACTTTCTGACCTGGAATCCAACTCAATCCCTTCATGCAAAGGCCAAAGATGCCCCTATCTGTGGTCAGCCTGGCCTTTCATGTCCCCACAACAACCATAGCTGCTCCCTCAAATCTGTCCCACCTGGCCAGAGGCCAGAGCCTTCAGTAAGGGACACCTGTGGCAACACTGCAGGCAATACAACATGCAAAGTGTGGACCTTTGGCCAGAGACAAGTCAAGGAGGTAAGTGTGGGCAAGGTGGAGACACGGTTTCTAGGTGCCAAGGATTGAGCCTCCCTGGCTCCAGACCTTAGTCAGTTACTTGGCATTTTTATGGCTTTTAAAACCCTGGACCCAGAGTTCAGGGCAAACTCAATTCTTCCTATTTTCTCCTCTCCACACAGACATAGCAGAACTCTGCTTCTGTATCTGGGAAGTAATCGTCTTAGTCATAACCGAGCCCTATTTATATAGCATGGTATTGACTGCTAGGCGTTCTTCTGAGTGCTGAACAGTTAACTCATTTTAATCCTCAACCATCTTATGACAATGGTGCTGGGAGCCTTTCTTATAGATGAAGAAACTGAGATGCAGAGAGGTTAGGTAACTTGCCCAAGGTCACACAATAGGTGCATAGCAAGGGAGGACTGAAAACCAGGCACTGGGGCCCAGAGACTTTTATTCTTCACTAGGACATACACACTGCCTGTGTAAGATACTTTCATTTGCCTTATGTGAGCTTGACATAAAACCTGTGAACAAGGTAACATTCTTATTGTAATTATTACTAATATCCTATTGATGGGAAACTAAAGGTCAGAAACTCTGCCCAAGCTCTAACCATGTGATTCCAATGGCAAAGCTGGACCATAACTGGAATGTTCTAGCAGGTCCCATGCCTGGGGGCCATTTGATCCCCAGTAGGTGAACAAACCACCATAAAAATCAGTCCTTGGGTGTGCAGCTCAGTGGTAAAAGTACTTGCCTAGCATGTGTAAGGCCCTGGGCTCCAGCCTCAGCACTACAACAAACAAACAAACAAACAAACAAAAAACCCAAAGAGGCATTCATAGCTCCTCTTCATCTACCTTGAAGGTGACTGGGGATGTCTTTCTAGTGAGACCTTTTCTCAGCCATCCCAGGTGTCAGAAGATTTACTCACCGAAGGTGGAACAAATCTTTCCGAGGCCAAACCGCTGTTCAGAATAAAGTAATAGATGGTCTTGAAGAATAGATAATTCGGCCCTGGTTCTATCACAAAAGGGTATCAAGATGCTGCTCTCTCTCCTCTTCTGTCTCTCTAGATCCAACCTAACTCATCATGATCATTGCTTCTGTCAGACTCCCATCTGTGCTTTACTCTTTGAGGCCTCTCCTGGGGGTCCTTTTCAATTTCCATGTTACTTTTTAATTATTTGTGTTCTTCTCCTATTGGGCCGCACCCTTGCCAGGGTTGGGAACAGGGTCCTACTCATTTCTGGGTCCCTGTGCTGTCCCACAGGGTGCAAAGCAACAGGCACATAAAGCTCCAGAGGGCCCCTGTCCTGAGTGGGTCTGCACATCTGGGCACTATGCCGAAGAGCACCAGGGACAACGCTGGGAACTGAAGACACGGGCCCCACCCCAGCCCTGGGAAGGGAGAGACACTTAGAGATGATTCCAGGTGATGCTACCAAAGTCTGCCTTCTGGACCAGTAGTAGTTTGCTGTATCCTGTCTACAGTGTTCTTCCTTGTTTCTTAGAAGACAACCTAATCAACCCAGTCACTGTGAGTCAGAGAAAGAGTTGGAAGGAACCTTCTTATACTGCGGTCGGGGAAACTGAGGTGCCACTCCACAGCTGCTTCTGCATTAGAGTGAGAATGACACCAGAAGGAACAGTAAAAATTAATAAAGTAAGCTGTCTGAACATGTTTTTTTAACCAATGACTGTTCAGTTCAGTTCAAAAAATTAAAGGCTGCTCCGCTTAGCTCCTCTTCTTGGTTTGGCAAAGATCTACTTGGTTTGGCAAAGATCTCCTTCTCTGCTGTCAGTATGCCTGGAAAATCATGCTTCCTAGGATTAGTATGATACAGGTCTAGAGGCGCTGACCCCCCAGCACTGCCAGATTTGTGCTGCTCTACCACCTGGAAGGCCCGGCGTGGAGCCCTGTCTGTCCTCACCCCACAGTAGCGTGGGCTTGGATGCTGAGTCTTCCCAGGGATGCTGTCATTGTCTGTGGCGACACTTAGAGCCTGCCCGTCACTCTATCCAGTCTCTTGTGCTCAGCAGGGTGGGGATGGGCTGCCCGGCATACCAGCGGCCTCCCAGCACGCGCAGACCTGCCTGTGGAAAGTTCTCTGGGGAGAGGAATACCAGGCCCGGGAAGGCGTGCTGCCACCATCCCTTCCATTTTGTGTCCTGCTGAGAAGCATGTTTGTTCCTCGTGGATCTGGTTCTGAAACGTCAAAGAACCATGGCAGCATATTACAGACAGGCTCACCACACCCTTCCCCTAATCCTTCACGACAAAAGGTGATTACCTGGGCAATGGGAATGGAGAGTGAGCTCACCGTTCTCTCCCACAGCCAGAATCTAAGGGACCAGAAAGAATAGAGGTGGAAAAACAGGAATCCCATGTTACCATAGCAAACAAGGAAATTCATGCATCCACAGCCTATGATCAAAACCACCGTGTTATTACAGCACATGGAACAAACAGAGATGAAAGGGCGTTTCTCTCTTCCTCTTTATTTTCCCACTGACTTTTTACCATGAACTGCTTCTTGTTCCCAGAAACTCCATTTTCCATACCTAAGAAAACATTCTGTGGACCTAGGACCTAAAGGATCAGCCACTGGGTCCTTCCAATGACTTACAGCCTGAGGTCTGAGTATCCGAATGTCTTTTCTTTTTCTTTTGAGTCCTTGAATTGAACCCAGGGCCTTCTCATTGAGCTACATCCTCAATCCTTTTTATTTTTTCAATTTTGAGGCAGGGTCTTGCCAAGTTACTAGGTTGCCTGGGCTGGACTCAAATTTGTGATCCTGCCTCACCTCCAAGAGAGCTGGGATTATAGGTGTGTGGGACCATGAGCAACAATATCTGCTATCTTTTGCCTTTTCATTGTTTTCGTTAAAATGACACATACTCAGAGTAAAAAGAATTCAAACAACACACACACAAATCTACAAAGGGAATAAGAATCTGAAATCCTACTATTCAAAATAACAACTTTTGACATTTTGATGAACATAAATACTCAGTCTTTTCATAAATAGTCTGTACATGTAAGTTTTCACAATTATGCTGTCCTATAATCCGACTTATCCTGCTCACAGTATGTCACAGGAGTCCTTTTTATTATTCTTTAGGACTATTTGTATTGCCCAGTACCTAAGGCAAGAAATAAAAAATCCTACTGTTTTAACAATTTACACACTTATAGTTCTTTGTAGCTAAAAAACAATTGTAATCCTGAAGCTGGCAGGACAACCCTGAAAGAACCATTTCCCTTCTTTGTGTGTTTAATGTAATCCTCCCTCTCATCTGTACTGTACTTTACAATGTAACAAGCACTTTCTCATCATTTTATTTGATTGTCACCAAGTGAGGTGCATAATCGAAGTCACAGTGATAATAATACCTGTAATGACACTGGCTGTAAAATGAGCGTATGCCAAGCTCTGTGCTGCATCCTTTGCATGACTGTGTCACCAATGCCTCATTACCCCATTTTAAAGATGGCGTGACTAGGGCTTAGGCAGGAATTGGATCAGATTACCACAGCTGATCCCAGTGGGATTCTAACCCAGGTGTGTGGCCAAAAGTCCCTATTATTAGCCAGATGTGGTGGTGCATCCCTGTAATCCCACCATTTTGGCAGACTGAGGCAGGAGGATTGCAAGTTTGAGCCTTGCCTGGGCAATTTAGTAACTTAGCAAGACCCTTCTCAAAAATAAATAAAATAAAATAAAATAAGGCTGGGAATGTAGCTCAGTGCAAAGACCCTGGGTTTGATCCCCAATACAGAAAAAAAATGTTCTCTGCTATGAACCCCTGCATTGTACTGCCTCTTACAATAAGTAATCTTTGTACAGCGCTTTGCAAAACACTCTACCCTGTATTGTTATCCCCATTTTGGCTTTTTTTCTATTTTGTTTTGGGGGATAGGGGTTGAGATAAGGTCTTGCTAGGCAGTTCAGGGTGTTCTTGAACTTGCTCTGTAGCCCAGGTTAACCTTGAACTCAGCCTCCTGAGTCTTGGGATGTGATCTCAGTTTTACAGAAAGAGAAATCAGAGATGTTAAATGATTTGTGGCAGTCTCAGAGCCAGGATTCTAAGCATTCTGATTCTGGTTCTGTTTGCTGCAGTCTCCACTGTATGTGCCAGTCCCTGTCTCCCAACTAAAGGCTGGCAGTGTCCAAACTCTCAAGACTCCAGAGAATGGGGAGTTCTTCTTAAGAACTTTCAAAAATCTTTCCTTCTGCAGTGAAATTGGCCTCTTCCTTAGAGGCTGAGCTCTTTGTCATATCATGCACTAGCTGGGAAAAAGGAGGCAAAATTCATGGCCCTCAAATCAGGTCCAAATCATCCCTTCATCATGAGTTTCTTGTGCTTTTGTCATAAGGAATCG